ATTTATTTATTTATTCATTAATTCAATTTGTATGTCTGCCCATCTCAAATAAGTGACTCTGGACGGCAAACAATCATAGAATCAATTAAAACCAAAATTACAATCACAATATAAAAAAATTAAATACAGCAGCCAAAAAAATATTATAATCCATAGATGTTAACATAACAAGGAAATGGGGCCCATCACACACTTGAGATGCCAGGCCCGGGCACATAACGAGATCCTCAAGGCCTTATGAAAGGCCAACAGGGTTGAGGCCATCCTAATCTCTGGAGAGGGAATGTTTCAGAGGCCAGGCACTATGGCAGAAAAGGTGCGCCTCCTGGTCCCTACCACCTGACGTTCCTTGGCTGACGGAACCTGAAGCATGCCTGTCCTGCTGGACCAGATTGGACGGGTAGAAACAACTGGGAGAAGATGGTCCCTTAGATAACCCAGCCCCAAGCCATGAAAGTCTTTAAAGGTGACAACCAGCACTTTGAATTGCACCTGGAAACACACTGGCAACCAATGCAGCTCACGAAGCAGTGGTGTTATATGTGCCAAGTAACCAACACCATTTCCTGCCTATGCAGCTGCATTCTTCACCAGCTGAAGCTTCCGAATGCTCTTCAAGGGCAGCCCCATGAGAGCGCATTGCACTAATCCAGACGGGAAGTCATGAGGGCATGAGTGACAATGAGTAGAGCCTCCTGGTCCAGGAATGGGTGCAATTGGCACACAACCTGAAGGTGTGCAGAGGCCCTTTAGAACACTTACAAATATAAAGATAAATTATATAAGCCTCAATAGCCAAGTTTCATCTTACTTACAGGTCAAAGAGGAACTCTGATGAAATAGAAGAAAACCTGTGGCTGGAAAATTTTGCCTATCATCTTCTGAGGATAATAAAGGTTATTCTAACAGTGTAATGGATGCCCTCTCTTGTGCAGTATTAACATGTTGCTTTTATAAGTTCTTTTTTTTAAAAAAAAATAAATGTTCTTTCCATGAATTTATGGTCACTTTTATTTGAAGACACAGTTTGATTATCTCTCTCCCTTAATTACAAAATAGCTAACATATAACGACTCACTTTTTTGTATCTGTATTGGTAAAATATTTCTGAGCATGATGAAACTGACACCGGGGTGGGGGTGGGGACTAAAAATGACACCATGTCTACACTCACTATTTAAGGTTCTTCCTTAGCATAGGATGCAAACATGTTGTATATGAGGTATATTATCAGTTCAACAGTGCTGGACACCTTTAGCTCTGATTACCATCTTGTCAAGCTAAAACAGTCAGACAAGAGACCATCAATGAACCCAGGATGTACCAGCTGCTTTGAAGCTTTTTGAAGCCAAGACTCTGGCACAGCTCCTCCAGGTGTCAACTTTGAGAAACTGGAGAGTTCAAACTGGCATCCTAAGAAAGTTATCTTGGGTAGCAAAATGTGCGCCTAACAGTTCTCTGCATTGGGAAGCAGGGCTGTTAACAATCAAAACAAGGTTATGGCTTCGTGAACTCAGATATTGGCTGAAAGCTCACTTTTAGCTCCAAAGTTTGGTACACCTTATCCTGACAGATAATTTTTATTCTCGGAAGTGACAAATTACATAAACTGGGGTTCTCAAGTGAGATGCTGAAGCACCTGGGATAAGATCAGGCAAATGGTAGCTCTTAAAGAATTCTTGACATAGAACTACAAACAGAATATACCAAGATGTCACTTAGAGCAACAAATGTCATCTTAAAGCAGCATTGGCTCAAATAACAAACTTTGGAGGGCCTTTACACTATTATGCTTTAATATTAACATCAGCAGTGTTGGAGAGGGTGTGTATTGTGTGCCTTTGAGTCAGTTTTGACTCCTGGCAACTGCCTGGACAAGTCCCTGCAGTTTCCTAGGCAAGGTTTTTCAGAAGTGGTTTGCCATTGCCTGCTTCCTGGGGCTGAGAGAGGAGGACAGGCCCAAGGTCACAGCTTTGTGCCTAAGACAGGACTAGAACTCAGTCTCCTGGTTTCTAGCCTGATGCCTTAACCACTACACCAAGCTAGCTCTCTAAATCCCCTCCTGAAAGATTTGTCCCTGTAAAGATGGGAGTATTGAATCATGGGATTGTATCCTGCTGTACTACAATTTTCACTGAGACATCTGTAATGAGTTACTAACATCTCTTAGCCTATTTCCAGGTCAGACCAGAAGAATTCCATGTCTTTTGGTAGATAAATATCCTGAGATAGTTCTTGCTGTTGCAAAGCTTTTATTTGTATCCTGTAGAATTTGTGCATTGTTGGCAACCGAGTAGGCTAAGCACAATTACAGGACTTTTTATCATGTATGCTACGTTATACTTCATATTACAAACTTTTTTTTTTTTAAATGAAGTCTGGGTCAGTGACCCTTAATAAACCTTGACTTGACATCCATGAGTCAGCTTGGGGGGAGCTGATTTTTCATTCACACTACAGAAAATCTCAGTGATTTACCTGGATGGATTTTCATCCATTTTGTGATTGATTACATGCCATCAAATCATTTTTGATTCCTAGCGATCATATAGATAGATTTTCTCCATGACAGTCTATCCCTAACTTCGCCTTTCAGGTCTTCCAATGGTGCACTCATTGCTACTTTAACTGAGTCTACACCTTGCTGCTGATTGTCCTCTTATTTCCTTCCACCTTTTCCAGCATCAGAACTTCTTTGATAATCCATGTTTGTCTTGGTTGTCCATGGTATTCTCAGGACTTTTCTCATACACCAATTTCAGAACCATCAATCCTCTTTCTATCCTGCTGCTTCAAAGTCCATTATCCTATACATATATTGTACATTATGCTAAATCTATGAGGAGAAAATGGTGTGGAACAGAATTTTTCAATTTATAATAATCTAAAGCCTTGCTGCAATCCAACTAGAAGCCTTTAAACCAGTTTAATGCTGAAGTAACTGGCTACAGTGTAATGAAACCATACTTTTCTTAAGCTAGTTAGTAGGGCTTGTTTAATTCAAGGGTGTTTTTCAAACCTGTTTTGATTATAATAGCTGTTCACAAAGAACTTTCTCATGGGCTTGGGCAGATGTATTGGCCTTCTTGCAGCCAAGCAGCACTGAGGACTACAAAATAAGATAGCTTGTAATTTTGTTCTTTTAAAAAAGCCAGAAAAATATTGAAAGCCATTTAGAAAACCGTAAGAAACATTTAAATTCAGTTGTTCATCACTTTAATTTCCCCCGGCAGTATTTTGTTCTGATCTTCCTCTGCATGCTGCGGGTGCTGGAGCAGCTTTTGATCAGCTAAGCCAGCACAAATACTGCCACATGATATAGTCCACGACAATTAGCTATACCACCTCTGCCTCAAGCTCTCTTAAGAGTAATTTGTTCCTTACTTTTCACAAAATCTTGAGTTACCTAAAGTAAATTGTTAATGTTTCAAAAAATAAGATGGAAAGAAGAGTTAAGAAAGTAAAAAGAGGAGTGCATTAAGAGAAAATACTGGTTGGAGATTATAGGAAATTTAGTTCAACATATCTGAAGGACATTTTGGGGAGACTGCTAATAGATATGTAAGTTACTTGTTCACTGCAGTAATTAAATTTCTGCTGCACACAGTGTGCATTTGTTATAACCACACCGAATCACTACTCTTTTCTTAGATGATTTGTGGCTGCCAAAATTCAAGTTTAGATAACAGAAAAAGGAAAAATAGTAAAAAATGTATAGTTTAGTTTTAAAATTTCAAGAATATATCAGCAAACTTTTTAACATTGTATCCCAATTAATGTGATTGTTGATTAATGTGATTAGATGGCATTATTCTGCTATTTCAGGCACAAGAGAAGTGTTACAAGAAGTGTAACACACTAAAACTGAAGGTTTTTTCCCCCTTAAGTGATGTTTTTTTCCAAAAGGAAGCAACAGTGTATAAATAATATGAATGATATACATTAGAAAACTTAATAAACATAAAGAAGTTTATTTCAGAAATTGCCATCCAATATAAAAGATAATTATGTCTATTTCATGTTTTTTCAAGACATTACTCTTGAGCTGATGAAAATACTTACTAAAAATTTGTAGACTGCAAATCCTATTCAGCAGTTGATAATTGCCTGTATTATTATGCAATTATTTCTTTGATCCAGGTCAAAACCTGAGCATTTATTTCCAATAATATTTCATCTCCAGATCGTCCTCTGACTGCCATGCTATGATTTGCATTTTCAATCCAGACGATTTTCTTAGGTGCTTTTATCTTGGTTGCAACATCTTCCAATAGTTGCTATTTTAAACAAGGAAGGAACAGAAACCCATATTTTTCTAAGCCATTGTGATCCAATTTCAGTATGAATTTTTTAAACTTTAACTAATAATCTATAGGTCTGGACATTGAGTAGGAAGTTTCTTTCTCTAAATGGGCTCCATTAATCAATATAAAGCAGTGTTGTCCAAACCTGGCCACTTTAAGATGAGTGGACTTCAACTCCCAGAATTCCCCAGCCAGCCATGCTGGCTGGGAAATTCTAGGAGTTGAAGTCCACTCATCTTAAAGTGGCCAGGTTTGGACAACACTGATCTAAAGCATAACTAAGGAGCCTCAGAATAAAAAACAAATACCTACATGACAGCAAGGTTAAGGACAGGCTATAACGTTGTCAGCCATACACCTCAGTGAGTAAAGCACAAGAAAACCTGGGTTAAACCTGGGGTTAAAAAGTTGGGTTTGGACTAGAAACACCAAGACTCAATGAATGAGATTCACTTGGTGATTACAGGGACTATTTTACAACCTACTCACAGCATATAAGCCAGTGGGCATAAACAGCAGAGTTTCTCAACAGTATCCCCTGCATTTGGAACTCTGTTTTAAACTCCATCATCCCTAACTTTCATCTTCAAATCTATAATTGATTTAGGAGTCTGCTATGGCTGTTGTGGATATGATGCTAGGTTATGCATTCTTCAGTTTTAAGCATTTTAAATTTAAATTTTCTGTCCCCTTAAGAGATCATCTAGAAAGCTATGGATAAAAAATTTCCATTAAAAAATTGAAGTAAACAACTAGCCTGAAGCTCCTTTCACACTTTTCTAACAATGGTACAATGAAATCAGGTTTTATGTCTTCTTTTAATACATCTGATAACTCACTTTATCACATAACTCATCCGCAGTGCCAGACACAAACAGGATGGGGGAATTAACGAGCAATAAATCTTCACTTCGAAGTTTAGTCTGAAGCTTTGGCCGATGCAAGGGATAGGACAAACATATCAGGCCTCGAATGAAGCTATCATTATTTTGGTTAGCCTGTTGTGTCACAATGGCAGCAGCACGGGAACCCATTGAACGACCTGCATTCATTAGGAATCAAGGATGAAAAAGTCAGCTCTTCATGTATTCTAGTGTAAATCTTAATTTACTGACACAATAATTCATTGCACTGCTTATAGCAATAAACTTTACTGCAGTCTATAATTCCAAACATTCCCTAGGGTAGCTTCACATCTTTCCATCACACAATCACCTGGAAACTCATGAAATTAAGCTTAACTGATTACAGTACAACCATTCCTTACATCCTCACAGCTAAATAAATGAGTTAGTGAAAAGAATTCTGTAATTAAGGGTCGAAGATAAAATAGGCTTTTCTTTCTATTCCAAAATGTGTCTCCACAGAAACACACTCATTCTCTGATTTTTAGGAGTGTGCTATGCAATTATGCAATATTTCCTTATTCATAAGTCATCACCAAATTTCTTACCTCCAAGAAAAATTCCAGAAAGTTTGTAGTCATCTGACAATCTTAAATATTCCTTTAAAAAAAGTTTCAGTTTTAACAATGTGAGTAAAAGGTAAAGATTAAAATAATACTTTGGTAAAGAACAATATAAACAATATCTACCATAAATAATAAAAATAAAATTTGCTGATCAAAATATAATACCTTTGATAGGTATTTAATGCAATGGACAAGTAAAGGCAAAGGCATAATTA